CTTTACAGGTAGGTAGTCCTCGACTTCCAACAGTTCATTGAGTGACCATTCAAAATTAACAACAGAACTGAAAAAAAAGTTAAGTTAAAAGGCTTATGTTCATTTTTCATACTTATGACTGTTGCAGCGCCCCATAATCAAAATTCAGATGCTTGGCAATCGGTTCATACTTATGACGGTTGCAGTGTCCTGGAATCATGCGATCAGCTTTTGAAATTCTCACAAGCAAAGTCAATGGGGAAGCCAGATTCACTTAACTGCTAAGTGAACTATTATTTAACAGCTGCAATGATTCACTTAACAACTCTGGCGAGAAAGGTCCTCAATAATGGAACAAAATTTGCTTAACAACCATCTTGCTTAGTAATAGAAATTTTCGGCTCAATGCTGGTCATAAGTCGAAGACTACCTGTAAAACAAAACCCTTCACCTTTGAGAAGAGAATCCAACTGTCTCACTCTGAGCTTTGGTCTCCACCCACACAATCAAATGTTCCCTCTAGAAATAATTCCTCACAGAGAATCGTGAAAAATTTGACTCTTTCTCTGAGGAAACAGACCAATCAACCCTCCCTGCATGCGGAAAACTAGCCCCTCAGGGAAAAGGTAGATGGTTTTTCCAGACAGATTTCATTTCTATCCAAAGGGCTTTTTAGTTTTGGGGTTATGGTCGTCGCACATGAGATGACACCACAGTTTAAAGCCTAAACTGAGGCAGAATTTTGTCTAATCGACAAGAGACCAGAAGCACTCAGGAGGAATGACTTCACATTTTTGGGAAGCAGCCTGAGGTGCAGAAAAAAGTGCCCTCTCTTTTTTATTATTAAAGTAACTGGACTTTCATAAACTGGAGAAAAAACAGACACCAGCTACTGTGGCTCACCACTCATGCAGAGAAAAAAAAACAGACTGTACTTTATTAAATGGGCAATTTCCAAGCAGGTATCTGTCAGCACTTTATGGCTCATTTCAAAAGATACCCAGATACACATAAATTATTTCTGGCTATTTAGATATGAACCAAACAGCAACTCCTTCCATAATTTACTTCTAAAAGAAAACAGATGAGAGTACTTAATGCAGGTATAGGAATCCACAACTAAGAATCCCTTCAGAAATATGTAATATATTGCAAACACGCAGCTCCATCGTTTCAGGAGGCCTTCCTCTCCTACCTGTCATTTTCGATGGAACAGATGAACCAATCTGCAGACTGGTAATTTGCCTTTTTCAATTGCTATATTTCAAATTTAGTGGTTTGGCCTCCAGACAAAGGGACCCATAATCCAATCCATCTACCACCTGCTTGTATTTGGATTAAGAAGGATCACGAAGCTACTAAAAGTAAATCCAACGTTTGCCCTTAGTTCTGGGCTTTTCAGTTAGCCTGAACTCCTGTAATGAGCAAAAGACATTATGGGTAACAAGGAAAAAAGAACTAGCATTGTTCCTTTTAAGGAGAAAAAAATACCTTTGCCTACTTTAAACCAAAATGTGTTATTAAATCATGAATCTTGGCTTGCTTTGACAACGTAATTCATAATTCCAGCTGGATAGCAATAGCACTTACTTATCTACCACTTCTCAGTGCTTTACAGCCCTCTCTCTAAGCGGTTTACAGAGTGAGCATATGGCCCCCAACAATCTGAGTCCTCATTTTACCAACCTTAGAAGGATGGAAGGCTGAGTCAACCTTGAGCCAGTCAGGATCGAACTCCTGGCAGTGGACAGAGTCAGCAAGCAATACTGCATTCTCTGCAAATTGTAGATGTGACTATACAACGAAGAGCAAGGTTTTTCTTTCAACCCCTTTTCTGCCACAATTGCTTTTCTACCAGTAAGAGAATCCTTTTCAAATGAGGGTTAAAAAAAAAACCACCCAAATATATTGAAAATAAAAATAGGAGACTGAATAACTCACACAATGCAGTCCTAATAACTACCTATGTTAAATCGTATTTCTTTCCAATGACTACTGCACTGAGAGATGGATGATGAATCAATATAGCAGCTATGCAATAAGCTTGATTGTTTTCACCGCATGGAATTCTCCGTGCCAAAAATAAGCCAAGCCACTTCCATTGCTTTAAAGGATCTCTGTCCCTACCAGTTTGCAAGAGGACCAGTCTGTAGATAGCTCAGGCAAACGAGCCAAGCAACAAAGTCGAAAGAAGAACCTGGACACCCTCAACCAAACTACAGAAATAGCAGTCTACCATTCTCGTATGGGAAGACGTTCCTTTGAGCTATAGAAAATAACTGCAATATAGAGAGCGAAAGCAAAAGCTTTATCTGCAGAAGATCAGTTGAAAACAACATATCTCTACTAAAAAGATAAGACCACAGATGACCTGACAGATGTTGAACCAAAGATTCAGCGCCGCTCAGAATTGATAATACTGGGCTAAAGGAACCAATATGGAGCTACCCACAAAAGTCAGGAGTACGACCATACCAAGGCAGTATAGATAGTCCTCCTCTTACAACTATCCATTTAGTGACTGTTCAAAGTTGCCACAGTATTGGGAAAAAAGTGAGTTTCATACAACTGTTGCAAGCATCCCCATGGTCACCTGAACAAAATTCAGACACTTGATAACTGGAATGTATTTATGACATGTTAGTTTTTGCAATCCTCTGACAAGCAAAGTCAATGGGGAAGCCAGATTCATTTAACAACCATGTTATTAATTTAACAATTCCAATGATTCACTCAACAACTGTGGCAAGAAAGATCGTAAAATGGGGCAAATCTCACTTAACAACTGTCTTGCTTAGCGATGGAAATTTGGGGCACAATTGTGGTTGCAGTGAAGGACTACCTATATACTGTTTTAATGTTCAATAAACATTTAATTTATCCCAATGGTTCTCAACCTTGGGTGAGTTGAGTGGACTTCAATTCTCATGCTGGCTGGAGAATTCCAGGAGTTGAAGTCCATCCACGTTAAAATTGCCAAGGTGAAGAAACACTAATAATATTCTGTGGAGTATAATGGAGAATTCTATCCTAAAATGCTGCAAGCATTAAAAAAAATATTACCGTAAATATTTTTAAAAGTTATTCTTATGCAGACCTCACACTTTTGTGGCATATTAAACAAATGTCATTCCCTATCGTTTTCTTAAAAACTAAATTCCCTTTTCTTTCTCTTTCCTTCCTTCTTTTACAAACATTCTTAAAATTACTGTACTCAGAAAGAAAATCTATGACAGTCTCTAGCACAGCATAATCACAGAAAGTGTTTCCCAGTTTGAAATCTGCATTTCCTGGCACTTAAAACGGAAATAAGGGTTCGTTTCGGGACAAAAGCTGGAACACGAAACTGCCAAACATCCTGTGCTATCCAGCAAAACAAGCAAAACCCGTCCTAGCAACAGCGTTTTTGTTTCAAGAGTAACTGCCATCAACTTTACATGGCATTTCAGATTATTTCTTAAACTAAATAAACTCCAAATAAAATTTATTTATAGGCAGGGAGACTTTCTCAAATGCACTCTCACTTGTCTGAATCAAATAGTGTTGTCTCTTTTTCCTAAACAAATATTTAATAGGGCTTGCCAAGATGAGAAAGTGTATTGAATTATCAGTAAGTGCTCTGCAAGAATGCAATTTATCCGCCTAATGGAATTTTTCCTTGGTTTTTAAAGTAGAGTGCAAAATGCCATGCTGAACAAGTCTTCCCCAACAGAAAATGAGTTGGCATCTAATCTAATCTTAGCGGTACTTATAATTAGCACCAATTATTCTGTAGAAACTCTTATTTGAACTCAATTTGGCATTTCATGAACATCCATGTACTTTTTCTTGGCAACAATATACTAGTGGTTTTCTAGTCTGGATTTCCTGGTGGTCTCCTCTCCAGGATCTAAACAGGTCCAGCACAGCCAGTCTGATCTATTGTTTAAGGCTCCAGGCTAGAAACCAGGAGACGGTGAATTCTAGTCCCATTTTAGGCATAAAAGCCAGCTGGGTGGCTTTGGGCTAGTCATTTTCTCTCAGCCCAACTCACCTCACAGGATTGTTGTTGTGATTGTGGGGGAAAAACAGGAGGAGGAAGGAGCGTTATGTATCTTCACCACCTTGAGTTATTTATAAAGTAATAAAGGTAGGATAAAACCACGGGTGAAATCCAGCAGGCTCTGGAGAACCGGTAGCAGAAATTTTGAGTAGTTCGGAGAACCGGTAGCAGACATTTTGAGTAGTTCGGAAAACCGGCAAATGCCACCTCTGGCTGGCCCCAGAGTGGGGTGGGAATGGAGATTTTGCAATATCCTTCCCCCAGGAGTGGGGAGAGAATGGGGATTTTGCAGTATCCTTCCCCTGCTACGCCCACCAAGCCACACCCACAGAACCGGTAGTAAAAAAAAAATTGGATTTCACCACTGGATAAAACAATCAAATAAACATATATTTTTTGAATTAGCTTCCTACAAACAGAATCCTAGGGAATATAAGCATTTTTGAGCACTGATGGTTATAGCCAATCTTAACACCTGCCAACTGTGTAGGACCACAACTCCCATCACTAGAGTCACCACAACCAAAGGCAGGCTTGGCTGAAATGATAGGAGTTGTAGTCCCATAAAAACAGACTTGGGGGACCCAACCTGCTTTTTTTTTTTTTCTGAGCCAGGATTTAGAAAGAGAAACCAAGCTGCCACCAATCCAAAATGCCATTTTAAGCCTCCTGAAAGCCATCAAGGGACTGTTAGGAAAAAGTCTTTACTAATTCCAGCCTGGGCGGGGGGGGGGGGGGGTTGGGGTTAATAAGGGGCCGCCCCCCCCAGCAGCCTAAAAATCAGAACGACCTTTTTAACGGACACCCTTTTCCCCCCCCCAAAACTGATGCTTAAAAGACCATAAACGACGGGGCCCTCCGGGGAAAAAAAGAAGTTCTGAAAGGGAAGTTAAATCAGGATGAAAATACGTGCCTAAACCCATTTCAAAGAAGCCATGGCAAGGTAAGAACGCTGATTTGTCACCCTACAAATAATTACCACGCAGTGGGTTAGCAGCCACCTCCTCATCCAGCTCTTTGTCCTAGCGATGGGCTTCTGCGAGGCTGTTTCCAACCTACAACCTGCTGACACCCTTCGGCCTCCACGCCCCAGCGCCGAATGAACCGCCCGAGGTCGGGGCAGGGAGGGACACCTCGAGAGGTGGGCCTCTCCTACCTGAGTGACAAGGAGGTTCAGCCAACGGGCGGCGTCAAGCGAGTCGTCGCTTTCCTCCAATCCCCACCGCTTCTTCGCCTCTCCCCCTCAATCCCGGAGATCTGAGAGGCAAGGGAGGCGAAAGGATTTGAATATGCTAATCGGGGTTGCCGAAATAGCCAATCCACGGGCTGTTACTTCTGGATAGGACCAGGCAAGGAAGCGGGCGGAAAGGAAAGGCGTCTGATTGGGGGATATATAGAGATGCCGTGCGCGCCGGGATGTAAAAATGAGAGCATGATGAATGGGGGGGGGTCCTCGAGATTGAAAGTGAAAGCAGTCTGGCACGTGCTCTACACCGTAGACTCCAGTTGCGTTTCAATCCATTTGCAGGGAGACTTTATTAAACCGTAAATGTCGCTTTATGGGTCGCAACGTGTCGCTTAAGAGTTCATGCAACACATGATGTTTTCGGCCGGGATGTTGCATCACTGCAATCACTTTACACTTGATCTGTGTGGGGCAAAGATAATGCATTTTACCCCCAGGCAGGATATTTGGAATAGAATAGAATAGAATAGAATAGAATAGAATAGAATAGAATAGAATAGAATAGAATAGAATAGAATAAGAAAAGAAAAAGAGAAAAGAAAAGAAGAAAAGAAATAGAATAGAATTAGAATTATTAGAATAGAAAAGAAAAGAAATAGAATAGAAATAGAATAGAAAAGAAATAAATAGAATAAAAAAGAAATAGAAAAGAAATAGAAATAGAAAAGAAAAGAAATAGAATAGAATTAGAATTAGAATTATTAAAATAGAAAAGAAATAGTATAGAAATACTGTAGAATAGAAAAGAAATAGAATAGAATTAGAATTATTGGAACAGAATAGAAAAGAAATAGAAAAGAAATAAAATAGAATAGAAATAGAATAGAATTAGAATTATTGGAATAGAAAAGAAAGAAATAGAATAGAAATAGAAAAGAAATAGGAATAGAATAGAATAGAATTAGAATTATTAGAATAGAATAGAAATAGAAAAGAAATAGAAATAGAATAGAAAAGAAATAGAATAGAATAGAATTAGAATTATTGGAATAGAATAGAAAAGAAATAGAAATAGAATAGAATAGAATAGAATAGAATAGAATAGAATAGAATAGAATAGAATAGAATGAGTTGGAAGGGACCTTGGAGGTGTTCTAGTCTCTCCCCCTGTTCAAGCAGGAAAACCGATACCATTTCAGACTGGTGACTGTTCAGTCTCTTCTTAAAAACCTCCAGTGATGAAGCGCCCATGACTTCTGAAGGCAAAGCTGTTCCACTGGTTAATTGTCCTCACTGTTAGGAAGTTTCTCCTTAGTTCCAGGTTGCTTCTCTCCTTGATTAGTTTCCATCCACTGTTTCTTGTCCTGCCCTCTGGTGCTAGGCTCAGATGGACCATGAAAAACAGGTTACCTGGTTCACTGTACTCTTATTTAATGGTGCTCTTTTTAATCTAGTTTTAGTTGTGATCGGCAAGATAGCAAACGGTTGCCTTGCAACCTGTTTTGAGCATGAGTGTCAACATAGATAAAAGTGGTCCGTGCACCATCTTGCAAACCATTGGCTGCTAGAAAAACTGAAAAGAACAACCCCAGTTACTCACTTAACAACTGTGACAGAAAAGGTAGTAAAATGGAGCAAAACTCACTTAACAACATTTTTTTTTTTGCTCAGTTGTGGTCGTAAGTATTCACTTCATCGGCACGGCTGGGTTCGGTATGTGTTCCCCCTGGTAAAGATCAACTTTGCTCCAGCCAAAGAAATACCTGCTTATGCAATCAATTTGAATAATGTAAAATCAGAAAGTAACGAGCTTTTAAAGTTTCTTCCCCTTTCCCCAATGAGGTATCTTGCTATATGAATTATGTTGCATGTTGACCAGCAGGAGGCGGTATGTAACCAGTTTTGTTCTGTAGGAAACTTAAACATAGATCATGAGGTGAGGTGGCACAGTGGTTACAGTGCAGTACTGCAGGCTACTTCTGCTGACTGGCAGTTCAAATCTCACCAGGCTCAAGGTTGACTCAGCCTTCCATCCTTCCAAGATGGGTAAAAGAGGACCCAAATTGTTGGGGGCAATAGGATGACTCTGTAAACCACTTAGAGAGGGCTGTAAAAGCACTGTGAAACGGTATAGAAGTCTATTGCTATACTATGAATTTCAAATGGAAATTCAGCTCATAAAGCATGTACAATGCATTAGCTTTAGGAGCTAACTAGGTCCTAATTATAATACCGATAAATAAAACTGTTTTGGTTTGTAGATTTTGTGATTAGAACGATTTGGTCTCACTCCCTGATGATTTAATATTTTTATCTGTTTTAATATGTTTAGTTTTGTGCGTCACCCAGAATGCACTGGAGTTTCATGGCCAATAAATCTAAATAAATCAATAATGTTATCAAATGTGCTGTGCTGTAATATGAACTAAGTTATAAAACGACTAGCAAAAGGCAGTTCACAATCAGTTTTGTTCTATATGGAACTCCTTGCATGTACATCGCAGATGGTTATGTGTACAGAATTCAAACCTTCTACTGGAAATTAAACTCACAGACCCATCCATGTTAGATGACTGTATACAATGCATTATCTTTAACTCAGTGGTGAAATGTAAAATTTGTTACTACCGGTTCTGTGGGCGTGCTTGATGGTGGTGGGGGTAATGTGACTGGGCGTCGCCAACTTTTTTTTTTTTTTAACTTTTAAAACCATTTTTTCTACAACCTCTTCAGCCGAAGAAGTTGTAAAAAAAATGCTTTTAAAAGCCTCTGATGATCCCAGCTGAGCCATGCTCATGCATTTTTTTTACTTTTAAAAGCATTTTTTTTGGCCAAAGAAGTTGTAGAAAAAATGCTTTTAAAAATAAAAAAAAAAAGCCTCTGATGATTGCGTGGCTCAGCTGGGCATGGGGGGGGGCAGGGATTTTTGCTACTGGTTCTCCGAACCACCCGCCACCATCGCTACTAGATCAGGTGATCCGGTCTGAACCGGGAGCATTTCACCCCTGCTTTAACTACTGCAAAATCCCGCGTCCCGCGGCGTTTCAAAAAAGTCCCGATTTTTCTTGAGCCCCAGCTGATGGCTAGAAGAAAAAAAAACTGTTTAAACTCTTGCCCGGGGCTTCAAAGGGCCGCCCTACAGGCAATCAGTGTAAAGCAGTTTTTTTTCCCCCTAGCTAAGCTTCAGAAACGAAACCGAAACCAGGGTCTTTGGTGCAGCGTGACAAAATGAGGCAGAGAGAGATTTATTTTTATTTTTATTTTTCCTCCCCAAAAAAGGTAGGTGAAAAACTGCAAACAATGGGAAATTTAGGAGGAGAGTTCAAGATTTTAAAACACAAAGGAAAAAAAGCTGTATTTAACTAGGGAATTGTAATAATTGAGATACTATTAATTGTATATTGTGTTGAAAGCAGAAATGGTTAAGTTGTGGTTCGGAGGAATATATGGGAGAAATTATTTGGTTTATTATTATTGGTAAATATAATTAATTGATTTGTAAGAAATTGGATTGCATGGAAATAATTGGAATATTCATGTTCATATTGATTAATATACAAAAAAGATAGTTTTATAACTAATTGATTTATATTAAAATGTTGAATTTGTATTAAACAACTGTATTACATAATTACATAATTAAACAATGTGAGGATGGATATAAAAATAGATGACAATGGGAAGGGGTATAATATAGAATAGAAGGGAAAAATTGAATTTGATTAAGATTAGAGATGAGGATGAAGGGTAATATTGGTTTTTTTAAAAAATAGATGAGAAATAAATATGGCAAAAAGGAAATATAGAAATTGTAAATTTAATTGAAATGACTAAACGCTGTTTAAATTTGTGAACCAGCCAAATATTCTGTTCAAAGAAAATACATTGTATGTTTGTATGTGTGTTTCTAATTATTGCTATTTATTCATATTTGTTCTCTTTTATTCTTTAAAGTTTAACCATTCATTCTTTATCTTAATATCTTTATATTTGCTTGGGGTTGGCTTTCTTCCCTTTCATCTTTTTTATTGTACAGCAATCTTTCTCCTCAAACCTACCACCTCTCTCTTTTCTTTCCTTCTTACTTTCTCTTCCCCCCACCCTCTTTTTCTCCTCCCTACTTCCTCTTTCTTTCTCCTTCTCCTCCTCTCTTCCTCCCTCTCTTACCCTCACTCCTACTCTAATTTCCATTCCTTCATCCCTCTCTATTGCTGTAATCCTTTAATGCATATGGACTACTCAGAGGGCTGAAAAAGTTATTTTTGACTGGTCCTCACACTTTTGACCAGTCCTCGAACTTATGACTGTCCTCACATTTTACATTTTTGCCCTATCTTGTCATCATGGTGAAGAGAAGCAGTTGTGAAATGAGTGACATGGTTGTTAAGAATGCTGCATGGGCATAAATGTGAGGATGGTCATAAGTGTGAGGACCAGTCAAAAGTGCGAGGACCTATCAGAAATGACTTTTTTCAGCCCTCTGGTTAGTCCTTTTGTGCATATGGACTACTCAGAGGGCTGAAAAAGTTATTTTTGACTGGTCCTCACACTTTTGACCAGTCCTCGAACTTACGACTGTCCTCACATTTTACATTTTTGCCCTATCTTGTCACCTTGTTGAAGAGAAGCAGTTGTGAAATGAGTGACATGGTTGTTAAGAATGCTGCACGGGCATAAATGTGAGGATGGTCATAAGTGTGAGGACCAGTCAAAAGAGTGAGGACCTGTCAGAAATGACTTTTCAGCCCTCTGAGTAGTCCCTATACACATAGCCATGGCCACCCGGTCACATGACCAGGTAGCCACGCCCACCCAGTCACATGACCAGGTAGTCACGCCCACCCAGTCACATGGCCTCCAAGCCACGCCCACACAATAAGCCACGCCCACAATGGTGTCCTTCTTACCAATGTTAAAATCTGTTCACCTTACCCTATAGACATAGCCATGGCCACCCGGTCACATGACCAGCTAGCCACGCCCACCCAGTCACATGACCAGCTAGCCATGCCCACAAAATAAGCCACGCCCACAATGTCCCTCTTTACCAATGTTAAAATCTGATCACCTTACACTAATGTGTTGCAATCTATAATCTAACCACTAAAACTCTGTTTATAACCTTCAATTGGGCAAAACAGTGCATTGTAGAGCAATCACTTTTGATTCAATATACCTCAAATGGCCTAACGTACATAATGCATCCAAAATCTGGGAATGAAATTTGGCAAACGTGTGGTTGCTTCAGTGCTATCTCGTCATATCTAATGCTCCCTGCCAGCTTCCTGCAAGGAAAATCAATGGTTAAGCCAGCAGGAAGTCGGAAGTTGCTCATAGCTCCCACTATGAGCAACTTTATTTGCCTTCCTGTGGTCATTGTGTTTCTCTGCTCAGGTGAGGAAATAGCTCTGAAAAGATGACTCAGTGGATCACAGACTATCTGGTACAGGGGTGTCAAACTCAAGGCCCGGGGGCCAAATCTGGCCCGCAGGGTGCTTAGATCTGGCCTGCGGTGCCGCCCTGGAAACAGTAAAGGACTAGCCTGCAGTGCTTCTGCCAGTGAAAACAGCGGCCCACCCGAGCTCCGTTTTCACTGGCAGAGGGTTGCAGGAGCCGTTGCACAGAAAACGGAGCTCGGGAGCCTGTTTTCACTGGCAGAGCGCTCGTGCCACCACAGGCGCCCTGATACGTGTGTTGTTGAGCCCCCTGATGCGGCCCTTCATGAAATCGAGTTTGACACCCCTGATCTAGTATGAACTATACTGTAAGCAGGCAGAAACTTCTCTAAAGTGCTAACATATAACTGATTTCTCGTCTCAAGGATATTGTATTTTATGTTTTCTATGAAGAAGATTTAAATTGAACATGGAAAAGTTTCAAAGTCTTCCCAGAAAATACTACTTTCCATAATTTGGTTAGAAAGCAATATAAAACATTTAAGGTAGTGATGATGCTGATATGTATTTACAATAATATTTTAATTTAAGAACATATATATTTTGATTTGTACAAAGAACTTTCACTTATTCATTTTAAATGCCCACAACTTTATGCTAGCTTTATGTCTGATTTATTGTGGGAGTATTTTTCCAGGATTCAACTATGATTACAAAATGAAATAGAGAGGTACATAATACATCCAGGGGATTCAAGTGTTCACCATAAATACAAGTATCATCTGAATTGATCTTAGAAAAAAAAAAAATCCTGGACAAATTTTGTCTTTGGAGATGCTTTTGTCTCAAGTCTGTATTTTTCAGTACATAAGCCAGAGAAGAGATGCATAGAGCAGTCTATGCATCTCAGCCATCTTCAAATTAGGCGACTAGTATATCAAGCTATTCATCATATTCAAATAAACTGAGAACACCTTTCTACAAACCCCTCCCTGAATTTTGTTTTTATTTCATTTTTCTTTTTACAAGAAACAGGGTACAGGTAGTCCTCGGCTTACGACCCCAATTGAGCCCAAAATTTCGGTTGTTAAGTGAGACACTTGTTAAGTGAATTTTGCCCCATTTTAAGTCATTAAGTGAATCACCGCAGTTGTTAAGTTAGCAACACGGTTGTTAAGTGAGACTGGCTTCCCCCATTGACTTTGCTTGTCAGAAGGTCCCAAAAGTTGATCACATGACCCAGGGACAATGCAACCGTCATAAATATGAGTCAGTTGCCAAGCATCTGAATTTTGATAATGTGACCACGGGGATGGTGCAATGGACATAAGCGTGAAATATGGCCATAAGTCACTTTTCTCAGTGCCGTTTTAACATTGAATGGTCACTAAACAAACTGTTGTAAGTCGAGGACTACCTAAAGTGTGGTATAGTAATTACAATGATTAAAGTTAGCCCAAATAGATTTGGTTCAATTCTGGAAGCTTATAGAAAACTTTAGACTTTGCCAGAGAGTCTACAATTAAGGACCTTCTAGACGGGTTGGAATTACCACAATATAAGCAAAGTTAGATGTCACAGTAATAACATATTAGAAGGTTGTCCAATGGAAGGGAGCCTCAGGATGCTTGTAAGATGACCAAGAGCCACCTCCTCCAGATTTGAGGTCCTTCACAGCAATCCACGCATACAGTAAATTTGGTTAATTTGGTTAGTACATTATTCACGCTTAAACAAATTGTCGAACCAAAGGAAATTATAAACTGATGGATACTGCGACCATTTTATCAAAATTTGAAGTAGGTTCATGACAGGGGTTTTTTGTTTACATTTTTCTGCGATGATTGAGGTATATTAATACTTTCAAACGTTTATTCCAGATTTTTTTTTTTTCATTTTGCTCTTTTTAAAGGTAAAGGTCCCCCTCGCACATATGTGCTAGTCATTCCCGACTCTAGGGGGTGGTGCTCATCTCCGTTTCAAAGCCGAAGAGCCAGCACTGTCCGAAGATGCCTCTGTGGTCATGTGGCCGGCATGACTAAACATCAAAGTCGCATGGAACGCTGTTACCTTCCCACCAAAGGTGGTCCCTGTTTTTCTACTTGCCTTTTTTTAATGTGCTTTTGAACTGCTAGATTGGCAGAAGCTGGGACAAGTAACGGGAGCTCACCCCATTACGCAGCACTAGGGATTCAAACTACTGAACTGCCGACCTTTCGATCGACAAACTCAGCGTCTTAGCCACTGAGCCACAGCACCCCTGCTCTTTTTAGACCATGTCTAAACACCTGAAAACGTTTTACATATTTTCCTCAACAGTTCCTCTGGGTCATCTCTACTTAAAGCGAGCAATGCAGATCAGAGGGAATGTCCTGACATCTGTAAATCTGTATCTTTTTCCAGCAATTTCATTATATATATTTATTTTTAATTTATATATATATATATATGTATATATTCTGAATATGCAGTTCAGCTGCAAAGAATAATTGACCCGAAGGTCAAAAATCGAACTTAGAGGCAACTGAACTTTCTCTGTTTTTGCTTAAACACGTTTCGCTTCTCATCCAAGAAGCTTCTTCAGTGCTGACTGAATGGTGAAGGATGGAAGGATTTATATTCCTTGCAGTCATCTGGTTGTTAGCACTCTTCCTGAGAGTTGCTGAGGCCATTTGGAGGTTCATCTGTGCCTCAGGGTCACCTGAAGAGTGCAAATGGGTGTGGAACCTTCTGGAAACTGTAGAAAGGACTGTATTGTAGATTGGAGATAGATGATGCCATATCCCTCTCCCTCTGTTGACAGAGGGCTGTTCAATATTTATTTATTTATTTATTTATTTATTTATTTATTTTTATTTGTATACTGCCCTTCTCCAGCCCCACTCAGGGCGGTGAACAGCCACGGTAAAACACAACATATAAAATTTAAAAGCAGTTTAAAAGACATTAAATAATTTTGGCCATCAATTTAAAACAACCCAGTTAAAACCAATTACAAATTAAAACCGCAAGGATGGGATCAAGCCAGCCTGGCTAGATGAAATAGAAGTGTTTTCAGGGCCCGACGAAAAGTCCAGAGGTCTGGTATCGTGCGTATCTCTGGGGGTAGGTCGTTCCAGAGGGCAGCTGCCACCACAGAGAAGGCTCTCTCCCTGGGGGTCGCCAGCCGACATTGTCTGGCTGACGGTACCCTGAGGAGGCCCTCTCTGTGTGAGCGAACTGGCCGGTGGGAGGCAGAAGGCGGTCTCATAGATACCCCGGCCCTAAGCCATGGAGCGCTTTAAAGGTGGTCACCAACACCTTGAAGCGCACCCGGAAGACCACAGGAAGCCAGTGCAGCTCACGCAGGAGAGGTGTCACATGGGAGCGCCCCGTCGCTCCCATAATCCCCCGCGTGGCCGCATTCTGGACCAACTGGAGCCTCCGGGTGCACCCCAAGGGGAGCCCCATGTAGAGAGATTGACATAGATGGCATCTTTCACCCCTCTTTCAAACTAGTGGTCCTCTCTGTCCAGAATGAGGACTTTGCTATCTTCAAGCTTGCCTTCAGAAGTTGTGGGAGCTTCATCACTGGAAGCTTTCAAGAAGAGACTGAACTGTCATCTGTCAGAAATTGTGTAGGGTCCCCAATTGGGCAGGAGGGGATTGGACTAGATGACTTACAAGTCTGTTAATCTGTTAAAAAAGAGTGACCTTGTCTAAGCAATGGCATTTAGACTTATATACCGCTTCACGGTGCTTTACAACCCACTCTAAGCAGAGTCGGCCTATTGCCTCCAACAATCTGGGTCTTCATTTTACCGATCTTTGAAGAATGGAAGGCTGAGTCAACCTTGAGCAGGTCAGAATTGAACTCCCGGCTGTGAACAGTGAGTTAGCCTGCAATACTGCATTCTAACCAGTAGTGGGTTTCAAAACCCGTCGCTACCGGTTTACTCATGGATGCGTGCATACTCGTGAGTGCGCGCAACGCTTCTGAGCATGCACAGAAGCGTCCGGGCAGTGGGCGGAGTCTCCTGCCACCGCTGCCGGGTTCGCGCAATGCGGGGCGAACCAGTAGCAACCCACCATTGATTCTAACCATTGTGCCACCACCACTCTTCTGCTGCTGGACTGCTGAGTCCTTCCATTCTCCACCATTCAGTCAGAACCGAAGAAGCTTCTTGGATAAGAAGCGAAACTTTTTCAAGGAAAAAACCAAAATCCAGTTTCTTTTTTTGAAAAACCACCTTTGGGACAACCATGACCTGCATGACTGAGAATCTCCATAGACATGCAAAGAACAATGTTTTCATCCTGATCCAATAAATACTACATGCTCTTATAATCCAGGCCACAAAGCTAAAACTGTAACTATATTAGAGAAACATTAGAAACATTGGTTATTAATAGAAGACATTGTACCATTCTTTATTTTTAATTTTCCTTCATTTATACACATTCCTCCTTTCTCATCACAAAAAAAAAAAAAAGATTTTTTTCCCCTCACTTTCTTTTAAAAAGAAATAATATTCTGGATAGCCATGTCTGTTCCACAATATAAAAAAATTCACAGTACAAGCAAAATATATTATTCTTTTCTGCTACTGCTCCAATGATGTTTGAAATCGTACCATATTTTGAACATTCCTGCTAAAAGATATTTCCTCAACTATGCATCCAGCAGAAGTAAATATCTGTGTGCTTTAAAAGCTAAATAATCAGCAAGCTACATTTTTTTTCCCATTTGAACAGGAGATATTAAATCAATTTTCAAAAAGATGCCAATAAACTTTTTTAAAAAAGCAAAGTACATACTATTTACAGGTTTTCAATATTTTCTAAAAAAAATTATCAAGTGGTTAATTCGAAGTAAATAACTTCTTCAATAGATGCATTAAACTCAACCAATTAATAAGGTGCGCAGAAATGTGAATGAAACAGATTCATTGTTTGCTTATTTAAGTATGCAAGTTTCTTTGAAAATTTAATTGTACCTTGTAGTAACACCTCAGTGTAAAACAATTGTGGCAAAAGGACATAAGTTTGGTTTTGAATAATTCTGGGAAACTGTTATGAATGTACTTCTTAAAATGTGTGCCAGATAGATAGCTACCAGCCTCGGTGCCAAACATATTTCTATTTCAGAACTTTGATTTTCCAACCTGACCACTGTTTTTCAATCTTGGCGATTTTAAGATGGATGGACTTCAATTCCTAGAATCCCCCAGCTGGATGGGGAATTCTGGAAGTTGAAGTCCACCCATCTCAAAGTTGCCAAGGTTGATAAACAGTAGACCTAACTATCACTAATATTCAAACTCTTAGCCTAATTCTCATTTTATCAAAACACTTTTTGGGTGTATCAAAGCCAACTTCTAGACAAATTCAACATGCCATAACAACGGAGCATTTAAATTTAAAATTTTAATTTTAATTGCTATCTGTCTGCACTGATTCTCCAAAAAAGTTCGATGAACCTTTAGCCAGGATAATAATTACCGGTATTAACTTGCAATGTCCATTAGTTATCAAGTTGCCGGATGGCATTTTATACAAACGGGAAAACCGCAGCCTTCTATAGATGGCGGTTGCGTCTGGAATTTTGAGGAGACACCAGGGAGACTCAAAAACTTCACAAAATGGTTGGTGAATGGCAAAGAATGGCAAAGAAAATAAGCTAGAAAAGGAGGTTATAACATAGGAAAGGCAGGGGTGGGCTTCAAAAATTTTAGCAAGGCGTTCTCTGCCTGGTTGCTGAATGGGCATGGTCGGTGTGGCCTAGTCAGCCTCCTGTACCACGCGGGGGGGGGGGGGGGGCTTTTTGCCCTTCCCGGGCTCCGGAGGCTTTCCTCGAGCCTCTGGGAGGACAAAAACAGCCTCCCCATGCTCTGGAGGCCAGAAACGGGCCCGTTTCCGGCCTTCCCGAACTTCCGGTAGGCCCGTTTTTCGTCCTCCCCGAGCCTCTGCGCAAACACTGCACTTACCTGCATCCAAAATGGGACACGTGGGGACTCCTGGCAAGGGAGGGGTGGGCACGGCCAGCCAGGAGTGGGATTTGGAGGTTCTCTGAACTGCACAGAATCTTAGCTAGAGGTTCTCCCTAATTCCTACAAATCCCCCCTGAAGAAAAGATAGGTGGGCTTTTTCTTTTTCTTTTTTTTTTTACAAAATATACCTCCAACTAAAAAAAAAAAGCTGAGTCAATGAAAGATGGATGTGCATTCACCAAACCTGCAATTTCTCTCTCTCATACACATTCACCCTTCTCTCCCATATATATGCAGAAACATTCTCTGTCTTCCCTCCTTACTGTTTCACCCACTATAGACTAGGGGGAACCTGGCTTAATAGCAGTGACTGTGAGAGGGATCTTGGAGTCTTAGTGGACAACCAGTTAAATATGAGCCAGGAGTGTGCAGCGGCAACCAAAAAAGCCAACACAATCCTAAACTGCATTAACAGAGGGATACAATCAAGATCAAGTGAGGTACTAATACCACTCTATAAAGCCTTAGGAAGACACATCTAGAATACTGCATCCAGTTTTGGTCACACTATAAAAATGATGTTGGGACTCTAGAAAAAGTGCAGAGAAGAGCAACAAAGATGATGAGGGGACTGGAGGCTAAAGCATATGATGAACAGTTGCAGGAACTGGACATGGCTAGTCTGGTGAAGAGAAGGACCAGGGAAGACATGATAGCAGTGTTCCAATATTTGAGGAGCTGCCACAGAGAGGAGTGGATCAACCTATTTTCCAAAGCAACTGAAGGCCAGACAAGGAATCATGGATGGAAACTGAACAAGGAGAGATTCAACCTGGAAATCAGAAGAAATTTTCTGACAGGGAGAACAATCAACCAATGGAACAGAAGTTGCCTTCGGAAGTTGCGGGAGCTTCATCACTGGCAGCTTTCAAGAAGAGATTGGACTGCCATCTATCAGAAATGGTGTAGGGTCTCCTGCTTGGGCGGGGGGTTGGACTAGATGACCTACATGGTCCCTTCCAAATCTGTTAATCTGATCTGTTTACTTATACAGGTACATATGTGGGATTTTGGGATTTTTTACTAGCAGGTCACAGCAGCACTAATTGTTCTGGTACAGGTAGTCCTTGACTTACAACAGTTCATTTACTGACTATTCGAGGTTACAACGACACTAAAAAAAGTGACTTATGACCGTTTTTCAGACTTATGACCATTGCAGGATCCCCACGGTCACCTGATTTACACTTGGATGCTTGAGAACTGATTCATATTTATGACCCTTGCAGAGTCCTGGAGTCACGTGACTAACTTTTGCGACTAAAATAAACCTCTGGGTCATAGCCACACATCTTTATTTCTTATGGAGGTTTGCTAACCATAGATAATGCTAAAAGTTGGTGTTCTGCTTTGCAGCGTGCTAGCTTTCATTTAAACAGTTAAAAAAATATTTACTGGTCTAACCCACCTACCTTAATTAAGACAGGACAAGATTAACTATGTGGACACTGATATTTCTAGCAAATGAAGGTAGCAGATAACCCCCTGCATATAGCTCCTCGTTTAGGGGTGTTACAGACCGGGGGGGGGAGGGGAAGGTTGTGTGCAAGCCGTAGGTGTGTGCGCAGATCCATTTACACAAGCGGTGGTTGCGTGCACACCTTTTTGCACGAGCACCTGTCACTTGAGCAAATGGAACTGCGTGTGCCCGTGTGCTTACTCGCTGCTTGCATGGCCCACTTCCAAATCAGCCGCGGCTCAGTACTGGGCTGTGGCCAATGGTGAAATCCAAATTTTTTTACTACTGGTCCTGTGGGCGTGGCTTGGTGGGCGTGGCAGGGAAAGGATACTACAAAATCTCCATTCCCACCCCACTCCAGGAGAAGGATATTGCAAAATCTCCATTCACACCTCACTCTGGGGCCAGCCAGAGGTGGTATTTGCCAGTTCTCTGAATTACTCAAAATTTCCGCTACCGGTTCTCCGAACTACTCAAAATTTCCACTACCAGTTCTCCAGAAACTGTCAGAACCTGCTGGATTTCACCCCTACTTGTGGCCCACACAGTGGTGGGTTCTACTTACCTTTACTACCGGTTCGCAACGGGATGGCGTGCGTGTGATCGCTTTACTTGCTCGCGCGCCTTGCTTCTGCATATGCGCAAATCACTGATGATGACATCTGGAGTGGTGGGTGGGGGCCTCCCACCAGTTTTACTACCAGTTCTTGTGAACCGGGCCGAACCGGGGGCAACCCACCACTGGGGCCACAGGATGAGAATCCCTGTCCTAATCAATTAAGAGTCCCTCACTAACAAACTGGTATTGTGCCACAACTATGAGCAGGAGCTATAGAGATAGTCCTTGGCTTACAACCACAATTCAGCCCTAAATTTCTGCTCCTAAGTGAAATAGTTGTTAAAAGCAATAGCATTTACTTATATACCACCCCACAGTCCTTTACAGCATTCTCTGGGTGCTTTACAATATCAGAGTTTCCCCCCCTCCAACAATCTGGGTCAGGGGTGAAATCTACTTACCTTCCTTACCAGTTTGGAAGCGCCCGCGCCGCGCCCGCACTAACTTCGTTCGAGCACATGCGGCACGTGCATGCACAGACCTACGCATGCGCAAACCTTCTGTGCATGCACAGAAGGTAAAAAACACATTACTTCCTGGTTAAAAGGAACCAGGAAGTAATGACACCCGGGCGGGTGGGCGGAGCTTTGCTCCGCCATCGCTACCAGATCACCGAACCACCGACCAAGATCGCTACTGGACCAGGCAATCCGGTCCAATCCGGGAGCATTTCATCCCTGATCTGGGTCCTCATTTTACTAACCTTTGAAGGATGGAAGGATGAGTCCACCTGGAGCTCGTCAAGGATTGAACTCCAGGCAGTGGGCAGAGTTTACCTGCAATACTACACTTTTTAACCACTGTGCCACTAGGGCTCAGTTAAGTTAATTCTGGCTTATTTTACAACCTTTCTTTCCAGTTGTTGTTAAATGAATCATTGGCTTTGCTAATCAGAAGGTTGCAAAAGGTGATCACACGATCCCGGGACACTGCAACGGTCATAAATATGAGCCAGTTGCCACGCATCCGAATACGTGACCAATGGGATGCTGCAAAGGTCCAATGTGAAAAACAGTCATAAGTCATATTTTTCAGTGCCCCTGTAACTTCATACTGTCACTAAATGAACTTTCGTAAGTCGAGGACTACCTATATGGCAAAATGTCTCATTGCGGCTCTCAGCTGAGCCGTCAACTAATTAATCAGTAAGGTCATGCCTCTAAGCCAATGTTTCATTCTGTAATTTGGCATTTCTCAATATAGGGCTGCATGAGTTATGGTTGCAATATCTAGATTTCCCAAAGATGCGTTCAGGTGGGAATTCTGAATTTTGCAAGGGGGTGAACTTGGAGGTTGCTTGGTTATGGATGGCTAATGGGTGGTATGGCTAATGGGTGGTAATTCTGTCCAGCCTTCTGTCCAGGATGACAGAAGCAAGAAATAATCTTTGGGCTTTCAGGAAAGGTGCCAGGCCAGTATGGATCATATACTTCCAAAACCAAAGTGCCTGGTTTTCGATAGGAAGGTCTCTAACAGAACCTCATAACAGGAAAAAAAAAACGTACAATGAACAGAATAGCATCCTTTGGATTTCAGGATTTTTCTGCACTGAAAACTGACGTCCACAGGTAAAGGCAAGACTGTTAAGGCAGTATATTAAAAAAAAAAAATCAGTATTTCATTCACACCCCCAGATTACTTTTTAGGTTGGCTTCCAAGGCATAGAAACACAAGACCTTGGATTTGTGCTTGCCTTTAAGTTGAAGGCCTTCCGACAATGATCAGATAAGGAGTTGTTCCATGGGCATTCAAATCTGGGTTACAATCCAATCACTATGTGGGTACCATGTTAAATCTGAATTTTAGAGGAGAATAACCATGGATACTGGTATAAGCCAACTTCTGTTCCTTTATTTACCACCTCTCTTTATGAAACCCTTCTGTCTGAACAATTTCCTTTGGGTGTTCTGCTAAACAAGCTCCGTTGATGTCTTTGAGTTTGTTATCGGGCAGATCCTCCGGCTTTGTGCAAAGTTTTAAGGCTCTGGAAATGAAGACATCCAAGTCAAACTGAGAGTCAGTTTTCTTGTCGACTTCCTTGGGTTCTTTGTGGAGACGCGGAGGAGAAGACGGCAAACTCCGCTCCTGAATCTCCGGAAGAGCGTTGGGACAGTCGAGCCCAGTCTGGGTGCTTGTGACCCACTGCGCGATCTCTAGGAAAAGGTTGGACGGTTCCTCCTCTAGAGTTATCTCTGGCTCGGGGGCGATAGACGCTCTTTTCCAATGGGACAAATCTAGGATGAGCTTGGGTTCGGAATAATGGTGGAGCTTGTTGTCTCTCCACAACAACTTGTCTAAGTAAGAAGGCGAGCCGACCTTATAATCACAGGAGTGCCCGGAGTCTCCTTCAAACGTTCGGTCCATGGAGGAATGCGATTGCTCCAAAAATCTCTCCGAGCTACTCTGCGAATATTTGCGGGGATCCACTTGGGCTTCCTCGACGGTAGATTCAGATCCCGCGCGGGGATCTCGTTGCACCTCGTCCAAATCGTGGCATTTTTCGTGTCGCCATTCCAAATCCGAGGATAAGCTTACTTGGTACCTGTTTATTTGAAATAACTACAGCGTTAGACACAAATGAAACATGGCACATATATTAGTTAAATAGTCCCATCACCGGCTGGAGGGCTTTTTCTTCCATTTTATTTTATTTTTTTCTGAAAAGATTTCAAACCTTGGCACCTCTTTCGCTGATGTTCCTGTCCTAGACAATGACAGAAACTTGGAATAGTACCAATTTATGACTCATCTTATTTAATGTGTATTTTCAAGGCTTATTTGCATTCTGTACTAAAATCAGTCAGAAATACAATTCAACAAGAAAGAAGTCAAAATACAAAACAAAATAAGAAGTCCTTACTGTTCTCTGAACTTGGTTGTTTTCTTGTAGACCAGGGGTGTGAAACTCAATTTCATTGAGGGTTGTGTTTGACCTTGGGGGGCTGGAGTGGGCACGGCTGGAGTGGGCGTGGCCAGTTTGACATCACTCATGTTGGGTAGCCTGAGCACTCTGCCAGAGAAAACAGGCTCCCAAGCAGAGGTGGGTTTCAGCAAGTTCTGACCAGTTCTGGAGAACCGGTAGCGGAAATTTTGAGTAGTTCAGAGTACCGGTAGTAAAAATTCTGACTGGCCCCGCCCCCATCTATTCTCTGCCTCCCGAGTCCCAGCTGATTGAGAGGAAATGGGGATTTTGCAGTATCCTTCCACTGCCATGCCCACCCAGCCACGCCCACCCAGCCACGCCCACAGAACCGGTAGTAAAAAAATTTGAAACCCACCACTGCTCCCAAGGTCTGTTTTCGGCTGTGACAGCCTCCTGCAACCCTCTGCCAGCAAAAATGGAATTCGGGAGGGCCACATACAGCCCTCCCGAGCTCCGTTTTCGCTGACAGAGGCACAGCAGGCCAGTCCTTCGCTGTTTCCAGGGCGACCCTGCAGGCCAGGTCTAAGCACCCCACAGGCTGGATACGGCCCCCAGGTCTTAAGTTTGACACCCCTGTTGTAGACGTTGGGTAATGAAATGTCTGCAAGAAAACAACCAAACTTTGAGAGCACCAAGGGGCTCTCATTTCACCCCTGAGCTGCAAGTATTTTCCTTTATTGACAAAACAAAATTGTACAATGCTACAGGTTATCTTTGTTTTGCATCATTTACACTTTTTGCTGGCATTTTGATGGCCTATGGTAGGGGGAGAAGTAACCCAATTTTCAACCTCTTGAAATCTTATTTATTATCTCACTTTGCCATAGATTTGCAAAGGGGCCAATAACATGATTATCTTAATATATTTATTATCATATTATATTATATATTGTCTGTATCTTATGATTTATGATGATTGTATCATAATTTATCACTTGTTGCTTTTGTGTACACTGTGAGCTTATGCACCGAAGACAAATTTCTTGTGTGTCCAATCACACTTGGACAATAAAGAATTTTATTCTATTCTATTCTATTCTATGCTGTGCTGTGCTGTGCTGTGCTGTGCTGTGCTGTGCTATTTATTTATTTATTGGTTCGATTTATATGCCGCCCTTCTCCGGAGACTCAGGGTGGCTTACAATGTGTTAAGCAATAGCCTTCATACTTTTGTATATACCTGCTTAGTAGGGCTTTCGGTCCTCCCTAAGCGGTGTTCTTTTTTTTATACAAAGTCAGCTTATTGCCCCACAATCCGGGTCCTCATAGCTATGCTATGCCTTGCCATGCCATGCCATTCCCACCTGTTCTACAACATCCTACCTACCTATTACTTACCTACCTGTTAATGACTACTTCAGCTTCAACCGCAACAATACACGAGCACACAATAGATACAAACGTATGGTAAACCACTCCAAACTTGATTGCAGAAAATACAACTTCAGCAACAGAGTGGTCAATGCCTGGAATGCACTACCTGACTCTGTAGTTACATCCCCTAACCCCCATAACTTTAACCTTAGACTGTCTACTGTTGACCTCACCCCATTCCTTAGAGGTCTGTAAGGGGCGTGCATAAGAGCACCAACGAGCCTACCGTCCCTGTCCTACTGTCCCCATTTATCCGTATCCTTATCCTGTATTCATAATAGTGTTTATTCCCTCCCATCCCATCCCCATCTATTCCATTCCTATTCCCATTCCCATTCCCATTTTCATCTATTCCATTCCCATCTATTCCATTCCATTCCCATTCCAAAACTTTAAAAGCAAAGAAGAAAGCAAACTAAGTTTGGGATAGAATTCTTTTCTCAGACATTCTGTGTTTCTGCATAATTTTCTTCAACCTAGGGAAGAAACGTACCTGTCCCAGTTGGACATCTGGCTGTGATTAGCTTCCATCAACAAAATGTCATCAATCTCATCCTCAATCCGGAAAGGGTGCTGAGAAACAGGTTCATCCTCAGGACAATAGTATGGCCTCATAAAAGGATGCTGAAGGCCCATCTCTGCTGTCAACCGGTCCATTGGATTGAATGTCAATATCTTTTCCAAAAAGTCAATAGCTGCAAGAGGCAGATATATAATCAAACCCAGAGTACATACCCAGGGGTGGGTTCTACTTACCTTTACCCCGCGCACGCGCTCCCTTTGCTCACTTGCGCTTCTGCTTTCTGATGCTTTCTGATGATGTCGGGGTCGGTGGGCGGAGCCTCCCACCAGTTTTACTACCCCTTCTATAGAACCGGTCCGAAACGGGGGGCAACTCACCACTTTACATACCCCTGGCCCAGTTTTGTAAATTACAAGTCATCCTCAACTTAACAACCACTGTAGCACCCCTATGGTCACATGATCAAAATCCGGGCCCTTGGCAATTGGCACGTTATTTAGATGGTCGCAGTGGCCTGAGGTCATGTGATTGCCATTTGCAAAGTCATGTGATTGCCATTTGCAAAGTCAATGGGGAAGCCAAATTCACTTACCAACCATGTAATTTAATAACTGTGGTGATTCATTCACAACTATGTTGTGGCCGTCAGTGGCCTGTGCAGCTGGTAGCTGATTCCGACAGCAAGGAGGCTGGTGTGGTGCTGCGCCAGCAGCTTGTGCAGCTGGCACTCGAGTCAGACAATGAGGAGGCTGGAGACGATGTGGTGCCAGAGGCGGGGATTCAGACAGGGCCTTCAGAACCTCCAGAAGTTTCCATGGGTGAAGAGGAAGATGCACGGGCACGCAGAGCTGCCAAAAGGCAGGAATGGCTCCTCAGGAGGAAGTCTCCTCGAGAGTAAGGCTTGGGGCTAATTGGCCACTCCCTTAGCCTATTTAAGGAAGGACGATGACTGAGGCAATTTGCAGGGAACAACTTCGTTCACTCTCCTTCGCATCCTGATATTAGTTCTTTTATCAGTTTCCTGAAAATTGCTTCTGGGCTTTCTGCCAACCATAGTAAGATTACTATTATTTATTCTTTGGATTCTTGTAGGCTGTTAAGAAAGTTAATTAACAGCCTTTGTTTGAAAAAGACTGATTTAATTTAGTAAACGAAGGTTTGTACAGACTTTGTGTGTGCTGCATTCTTTGGGGTCCGTAGCTGGGGCAGAACAAACTGTGGCAAGAAAGGTCATTGAATGGGATAAAGCTCACTTATCTGTCTTGCTTAGCAACAGAAACTTTGGGCTCAATTAAATTGAGGACATTCTAATACATTATCTGCACAATAAATGGAATCCCTCCTGCAATCAGAGAACAGATTAAATTCGAAGCTCAATTGCTAGCACCACTAGGTAGACCAGACCAGGAAATCAACACCACTGGAAGGCTAAAATTACTTTTCTTGAGCTTGGTTATAATAATAGAAACATGCAAGTTTGAGGGAGCTCCTCCTCATCCTGTATCTGTCTAGGGCAGGGCGGTCAAACACAAGGCCCGTGGGCTGGATCCGGCCTGCGATGTGGTCGGATCCAGCCCACAGGGCCGTCCTGGAAAATGTAAGGGGCCTTCTGCAGCCCTCTGCCATCAAAAACAGAGCTCGGGAGGGTTAGGCTGAGCTAAACTAACCCTGCTGAGCTTCCTTTTCGCTGGCAGAGGCTCTGTGGGCTGGTCCTTCGCTGTTTCCGGTCAGGCTCGTGGGCCAGATCTAAGCACCCCATGGGCCAGATCCGGCCCCCAGTCCTTGAGTTTGGCACCCTTGGTCTATGCTGCTTCCAAATGTTATCTGGATGTTGTTGTGATCTAGGCTTCCTGAGTCATTAAAACACACGAGTAGTCCCAAAAACCTCTTTTATTGCAACAGCTGTGAATTACGTTCCTTTTCATAGCTGAGTCCCAATTCGTTGCAAAAAGTCCTTCGGGAGAAGTCCTTTGGGATAATCACCAACCTTTATCTCCCTTGACACGCTGCCAAAGACCTACTTGGCAAAGCCACACGGAGTCCAGAATCAAACAGAGATGCCGACTGGGAACAGAATTAACAACGTTGCTTTCCTGCAAAGGGCCTATGTGCCTTTGCTCTTTTAAGCCTTATGGGAGGGGCCAATCAACTCCAGGCCTTACTCCCGAGTCGTCCCTTTTGTTTTAACTGTTCTTGCCTTCTGGCAGCTCTGCACATGCGCGCACTAGGAACAGACTCCTCCTGTTCCTCTGCCTCTCTGACGTCTGACTCTGGAGGCTCTGGAGTCTGTGCATAACTCCCAGATGGCCCTGGCCCCATCTCTGCCTCCGACACAGAGCCCTCGTCCGAGCCTTCCCCAGACTCCAGGACTGGCCCATGTTCCTCCCCAGCCTCCTCACTGTCCGACTCCACTGCCAGCTCCGCAGGGTGGACCACAGCAGATGTCCTCAACTTCAGCAAACGTATAACTCCTTGTTGCCTTGGCAATGGAATCTGAACATCTCCATCGAGATCCTTTTCCTTACTCTCTGAATCCATTAACTATGGAGTGTCCTTGTTCTTCATTCAAAAGCCAATCTCTAAGTTTAATAGAAAATTGACTTTTGGACAAGTGACGAATCCTATGTCCTTTTAAAATTTAGAGCTAAGGAAACAAGCATTTGGACACTATGACAGTGAGCTCTGTCCAAAACTTAATTTCCCCAAAAGTAAGTTTTATTGTGTTCAGTGAGGCTTTCTCTCCCATAAGTGTCTTTGGGTTGTTACTAATAGTGCAATTGGGGAGTAAATGGCTCTGAAATTGGAGCTTCATGGTCTCAAGAGAATCTCAGAAGTCCTTAGGCTTCTATTAATTGGCCTTTACTTTTGCATCAGCAGAACACAATTAAGTTAGCATAAATACTTTCAAAACATTAACTTGGAAATGCAGACAGGAGTAGAGTATAAAAGTTCAGATATTTACTGTGGACCTCTTTGTTATTGTTAAAGAACTGATCAAATATCAAAAATATTTTTGATATTTTTCTAATTATTACCATTTTTTAAGATCGCAGACAAAAATATGTATATTCCAGGTAGCTGTTGTTTTTTTTAAATGCTTTTTATAGAATATTGGCTTTCATTTTTTGCAAAATGGAAAAGTTGGCACATATTTAGAACAACTGAAGAATGTTTCATACATTATTTTTAAAATCTTGGTTGACATTCATTTCACAATGTTTGAGATAAAATCTTCTCAAGGTGGTTTATAAAATAACCTTCAAAGCAATTTTTTAAAAAAACCCTCCGAAACAAGAGTTTAAGCATCATTGATTAAGCTCAACTTGGAGAATGAAGTATGTGTTTGTGTGCATATACATACATTCAGGGGTGAAATCCAGCAGGTTCTGACAGGTTCTGGAGAACCGGTAGCAGAAATTTTGAGTAGTTCGGAGAACCGGCAAATACCACTTCTGGCTGGCCCCAGAGTTGGGCGGGAATGGAGATTTTGCAATATCCTTCCCCCAGGAGTCGGGAGGGAATGTGGATTTTGCAGTATCCTTCCCGTGGAGTGGGGTAGGAATGGAGATTTTGCAGTATCCTATCCCCTGGAGTGGGGTGGGAATGGAAATTTTGCAGTATCCTTCCCCTGCCACGCCCACCAAGCCACGCCCACAGAACTGGTAGTAAACTAATTTGGATTTCACCACTGCATACATTCATAGGTAAATGTCTATGGAGATTCTCAGTCATTTATTGGTTCGATTTATATGCCACCCTTTTTCGGAGACTCAGGGCGGCTTATAACGCGTTAAGCAATAGCCTTCATACTTTTGTATATACCTGCTCAGTAGGGCTTTCGGGCCCCCCCTAAGCGGTGTTCTTTTTTTATACAAAGTCAGCTTATTGCCCCCACAAACCAGGTCCTCATTTTACCTACCTTCGAAAGGATGGAAGGCTGAGTCAACCTTGAGCCTGGTGAGATTTGAATTTGCAATAATTGCAGGCAGATGGTGTTACTTTAACAGTGCTTTAGTCTGCTGCGCCACCAAGGCTCCTTAAGAGAATCTCCATAGACATTTAGCGATGCAGACCTGAAGAAGCTTCTTGGATGAGAAGCGAAATGTCTTCAAAGAAAAACCAGAACGTCTAGTTGCCTCTTGAAAAAGGACCTTTGGAACATACATTCATAGGATTTTCCTTTAAAAGGTGGGTCATATACACTGCTCAAAAAAATAAAGGGAACACAAGCAGAAGACATCCGAGATCTGAATGAATGAAACAGCCTTATTAATTTTTTGTTCATTACATACAGTAGTTTTGTGTTCCCTTTAGTTGTTTGAGCAGTGTATAAACTACTGTATGTAAAGAACAAAGTATTTAATAAGGCTATTTCATTCATTCAGATCTCGGATGTCTTCTGCTTGTATTCCCTTTATTTTTTTGAGCAGTATATTTATGACAGTTGCAATGTCCCAAGGTCATATGATCACCATTTGCGACCTTTGGAGAAGCCAGATTCCCTTAACAACTGTGGCAAAAAAAAAGTCATAAATGGAGGAAAAACTCACTTAACAACTGCTTCCTTAGCAACAGAAATTTGGGGCTCAATTATGGTGGTAAGTTGAGGACTACATGTACTAGCTCTCTATACCACATATATGGTCTGTTGTGTGGATGTTTGGGTGGTTTAGGAGTGGGGAATTTGTGGTGTGTGTGTGTGTGTTTGGGGATTGTTATGTGTGTTGGACCTGGTCTTTGGGTGTTAAGTGAATTTCGTTGTATGAGAATACTGTATATACACATACAATGACAATAAAGTTATTATTATATGTCTTCTTTTACGTCAATGTTTCCAATGATCTTTCTATCAGAGTTACAGTACGATCAAGTCTACAGCAGCAGTTTCATTTCACAGAATAGTTTTCAAAAAACGCTTTGGCCGATTGGTGAAATGAACGTAGATTGATGAAGTCTCACTCAGGGTCACATGATGTTTATGGACCCCCAAAAAAGGCTGTTTAATCACCCCATCCCAGTGCCTCCCACCACATCCCAAGGCCACCTTACCTTTGCTGTTGACTTCAGGAAGAAGCTTCCGTAAGGGACGTTTCACTTCCCAGGTGCTATTGATGAAAGTTGGCATCACTTTGAGAAGTTCTTCCTTGTCCTCTTCATGGAAAACAGGGATTGTTTCTAAAATGAGCTGCATCTGCTCCAACTCATGGCTTCCTAAACAAGCAAGACCAAGAGGTAGTTGTCAACTTGCAAAGCTTTCAAGTTGCCATGAGCAGGAGGGAGGGAGAACTGAAGTGAATGCCATACATTCTTCCTGACCGCAATCAGAAGGAGGGTGTTAGGTTTCACAGCCAGCCAAAGTGGTTAATTGGAGAATGTGATTTATGACATGGCCAGAGAGGAGGGGAGAGACAGGGTCATAGGGGAACGTAAATCTACGTAGGATCAGTCCTAACTGCATCCGAGTATTGCCGGAATGTTGCTCCTAATAAATGACTGTATTTCCTTTGAAGTTTGGATCATGGCTCATAAATTAATTAGGGCATCTTTCGGAAACTTGACAGAAGTCCTTGGGATATTGCAAGTCTTGAGAACTCGCTCACCTAAACAACTCAACATTTGTTTTGTTATTATACCAAACTTATTTCATATTTGTTTTTGTCCTGGCTCAAATCACTTTTCTGTTCTAGCTCCCCCTTTTGGGGGGGCACCCAATGCAACCCATCCCCCTCCCAAAAGAGAGATGCCTCTCTGGTCTTCTTACAATAAAGGGTCCTTCCAGTGGTGGGTTGCCCCCGGTTCGCACCGGTTCTATAGAACCGGTAGTAAAACCGGTGGAAGGCTCCGCCCATTGACCCCGATGTCATCAGAACGCTTCTGCGCATACGCAGAAGAGCATGTGCGTGCACTCGCTTTACTCACGCATGCGCACGGCCCCGTTGCAAACCGGTAGTAAAGGTAAGTAGAACCCACTCCTGGGTCCTTCCCACATTATATTCTCCAAATGGAAGTGCATGGAATGGAAAATACATAGCATTGCATGGGGTAATAATGCTGCAATCACATGTTGACAGAACAAAATAACAGAGTTGGAAGGGACCTTTAGGTCATCTAGTCCAACCCCCTGCTCAAGCAGGAGGCCCTATATCATTTTTGACAGATGGCAGTCCAGTCTCTTCTTGAAAGCTTCCAGGGATGAAGCTCCCACAACTTCCAAAGGCAACTTCTCTTCCACGGGTTGATTGTTCTCCCTGTCAGAAAATTTCTCCTTATTTCTAGGTTGAATCTCTCCTTGTTCAGTTTCCATCCATTATTCCTTGTCTGGTCTTCAGGTGCTTTGGAAAATAGGTTGATACCCCCCCCCTCTGTGGCAGCCCCTCAAATATTGGAGCACTGCTATCATGTAGCCGTTCTTCATAGGTTTTAGCCTCCAGTCCCCTAATCATCTTTGTTGCCCTTCTCTACATGTGTTTAGTCTGAAAGGTTTGAAAAACCACCTTTGGGACAAGTGATATTTCTGACTTAGTGCAGGGGTCTCCAAACTTGGCAATTTTAAGCAGGGGTGCTATTCAGCAGGTTCTTCAGAGAACTGGCAAGAATAGAATAGAATAGAATAGAATAGAATAGAATAGAATAGAATAGAATAGAATAGAATAGAATAGAATAGAATAGAATAGAATAGAATCGGGTGAAATGCTCCCGGTACGGACCAGATCACCCAATCCGGTAGCGATGGTGGCGGGTGGTTCAGAGAACCGGTAGCATAAATCCCTGCACCCCCCCTGCCCCCACCATGGTCAGTTGAGTCGCACAATCATCAGAGGCTTTTTTTTTTACTTTTAAAAGCATTCTTTCTACAACCTCTTCTGATGAAAAAATGCTTTTAAAAGTAAAAAAAAAAAGCCTCTGATGATCACGCGGCTCAGCTGGGATCGTCACAGGCTTTTCAAAGCATTTTTTTCTGCAACCTCTTGGCCAAAGAGGTAGTTTTAAAAATGCTTTGAAAAGTCTCTGACGATCCCAGCTGAGTTGCCTGATCGGCAGAGGCTTTTCTTTTCTTTTCTTTTCTTTTTTTAATAATTTTTATTAATATATTCTATACACTAATACACAAATAAAATATACAATCCTGCCACCATGGTATAATATGATTACATTGTCCATAAGTATAAAATCATTCCTTTATACATACATATTTGCCACCTGATCGGCAGAGGCTTTTCAAAGCATTAGAAAAAATGCTTTGAAAAATTTAAAAAAAAAAAAAAGTTGGCCACGCCCACCAAGTCACATTACCCACCACCACCAAGCCACGCTCACAGAACCGGTAGTAACAAATTTTATATTTCACCCCTGCCCCAAAGATGCTTTTTCAAAAGGCAACTGGACTTTGTTTTTTGTTGAAGACGTTTTGCTCCTCATCCAAGAAGCTTCTTTGGTTCTGGAGGTTTGAAAAAGCTCTTTTGGGACAAGTGATATTTCTGACTTAGTGCAGGGGGTCTCCAAACTTGGCAACTTTAAGGCTTGCTTATACAGACATGCTGGCTGAGGAATTCTGGGAGTTGAAGTCTACGAGTCTTAAAATCAGTGGTGGAATTCAAACTTTTTTACTATCGTTCTGTGATCGTGGCTTGGTAGGCGTGGCAGGGGAAGGATACTGCAAAATCTCCATTCCCACCCCACAATCAAATAATATGATTTGATTGTTTATTTGTTCCCTATGACTATCTATGCGCCAACTCAGAAAGCTTAAACTGCCCAAGGAGCTGCTGATCCAGTTCTACAGAGGAATTATTGAGTCTGTCATCTGCACCTCTATAACTGTCTGGTTTGGCTCTGCAACCCAACAAGACAAACACAGACTTCAGAGGATCATTAGAACTGCAGAAAAAACAGTGGCTACCAACCAGCCTCTGATGATTGTGCGGCTCAGCTGGGCATGGGGGGGGCCCGCAGGAATTTTTGCTACCGGTTTTCTGAACCACCCGCCGCCAAGGCTACCGGATCAGGTGATCCGGTCCGAACCGGGAGCATTTCACCCCTTCTTTGGGGCAAACCATGATTGTGAGTGATGACTGAGAATCTCCATTGACAAACCTCACTTGCCTATCTTCACCACTAGAGGGAGAAAGGTAACCACAGATTCTTATGTGCATGCTAAATAATCCCCTCCAAAAGGACAGAATTCTTTGAGTCAAACCGGATTCCAGGTAACCAGGGACATATCGGTGCAAAATTTTTGGGCAAAAGTACAAAAAGGATTTGCTATTGTCTTCTGAATTGTTTTTTTAAAAAAACATGTATATGTATGATTAATTATGTATAAGAAAACGTACATTTTATGTTACGTGTATAAGAAATAAAACAAAAAACTTTTCAAAAACAAACAATGAATTGTTTTTAAAAATATCTTTGTTATATCATTTACAACCCCCAATGGGTCTTTGCAATTTCTTTGCAATAATAACCTAGTTAGCAGCAGTGGTTTTCACATTAAGTTACTCCCGGTTCGACGCACGAGCTCATACTTGCTTTTTGCACACGCGTGCCCAGTTTGCGCACATGCCTGCCTTCCATTCTTGTCCAGCCTTCTGCGCATGTGCTTTGCTTGCATATCCGCCTTCTGCACATTCGCCCGGCAGGCTCGCTTCGCATGTGCACGCAGACCTGCGCAAGCGCAGAAGGTAAAAAGCACATTACTTCCTGGTTAAAACCAGGAAATAATGACACCCGGGTGGGTGGCCTGAGCTTCGCTCCACCATCACTACCGAATCACTGAACCAATGGCCAAGATCGCTACTGGACCGGGCGATCCGGTCCGGTCCGATCCGGGAGCATTTCAGCCCTGGTGCCCGGCGTCAAAAACATGCCTAAATAGGACGGCATAGAGTCGGGACAGGCCCACCCGCAATTTCCACTACCGGTTCAGGCGAACTGGTCTGAACCAGATGAATACCGCCTCTGCTAGTTAGCCAGTTCACCTTCTAAGACAATAGATCTGCTCAATTCTTTTCTTGGTGTCCTCACTGACTAGGAATTTTGATAGATGAATCGCACTGAGATGATACAGTAAATAATTTACTTTTGGGGAAATTCCTGTAACAAACAACGAGAAGCACAATGGGCACGGCAATATTGAAACAACACAGCTTTGCCCAGCTGTGCAGCAAATCCTTGCCTTCACCCAACACTCTCCGTTCAGTTATTGTGTTAACTTCATTTCCTAAATTCAAACTATATACAGGCAGTTCTCCACTTGCAACAGTTCATTTAATGAGCATTCGAAGTTACGCCACTGAAAAAAGTGACTTATGACCATTTTTCAAACATATGACCGTTGCAGCATCCCCACGGTCACGTGATTTTCATTTGGATGCTTGACAACTGGTTCATATTTATGACGGTGGCAGTGTCCCAGGGTTATGTGATCATCTTTTGCGACCTTCTGACGAGCAAATTCAACAGGGAAGCCAGAATCACTTAACAACCGTGTTACTAATTTAACAACTGCAGTGATTCGTTTAACAAATGTGGCAAGAGAAGTTGTAAAATGGGGCAAAACTCACTTAACAAATTTCTCACTTAGCAACATAAATTCTAGGCTCAATTTTGGTCGTAAATCAAGGACAACCTGTATCACAGCAACAATGAAATGAAAGGGATAGAGTATATGCATTTAGGGTGTCGTGCCCCAGCATATAACTCGATATACTGTAGTTGCTCTCTACCCCCATCTAGTGGCCTGAGGGACAAATATGCCCAAACATACCATCTTTATATACTGTTGTTGCTCTCTAGCCCCATCTAGTGGCCGGAGAGACAAATACCAAGTATATTGGTTGAAGCTGACCCAACCCATTTTATCCATCAACCCACATTCTCAAATCAAGTGCACGCTGAGAAGCCAGACTCCATTTCCTTTAGCATTTGGAGAAGGCAGAAGCACAAAGAAACAGCCTTAGTGGCGCAGCAGACTAAAGTGCTGTTAAGTAGCACCAGCTGCCTGCAATTACTGCAAGTTCAAATCTCATCAGGCTCAAGGTTGACTTAGCCTTCCATCCTTTCGAGGTAGGTAAAATGAGGACCCGGATTGTGGGGGGAATAAGATGACTTTGTATTAAAAAAAGAACACCGCTTAAGGGGGGCCGAAAGCCCTACTAAGCAGGTATATACAAAAGTATGAAGGCTATTGCTTAATGCATTGTAAGCTGCCC